ACCGCCTGCTGGGTTTGGCAGTGTAATTTGATAACCGCCCACTTTTTTGTCCGGGTCCAATTAGCCAATCAGCAAACACTAAATATATTAATAATCAAACTGTCAAACTATGTTATTGTTTGCTCGCAAAATTACAAATGTATAAAAATATGTCGAAAGAAACGCCATTGAAAGTTTCAATCAGGACCGAATAAGGCGAATAACGACAAGAGGTAGAAAAGCAAGCGCGGAAAATGTAAATGACTTGTCGTTTGTTTAAGTGTGCTTTGAAACTAAAATACAGGGCAATACGCCAATAGAGAAAATATCTTATATTCTTATATATCGTTGGAGAAATTATTTATTTAAGGCAAGCAAAAGAAACGTTACGACAGTGGTAAAACCTTGGCCGAAATAAGCCAAATTGCCGGTTCAGTTCATTTAGGAATCGAAGTTAATTCTACCTCGGAACTATCCGACCAAGTTTGTAAACCGTGTGAGCGCAATCAAACGAGACATAAACGCGTTGCCTGTGTACGTTCGAACAAATAGACAGTTGTATATTAAAAACCTCAGTTGCCAATATGAACTGTCTCGTCTCCCTAACGAAGCCGTGTGGTAACGAAAGCCTTAAAAAGTTCAGAAAGTGAAGCGGCTAATAGGCCTAGGCGTAATAGTCCTGTTATAAAACCCGTTGCAAGAAAGACTATACGGCCGTCTGTATCTATTCTCGTTATATTTTCTCGCGCCAACAAGAACGATGTAAAAATCAAGCTTTTCCCATAGAATGGCCAAAACATTCTTTCCAAGGAGTAAATCTTTAACTGCTATCTCTTGCTCGCGTTTGACAATCAGTTCGCGTTTCGACTTTCGAGAAGCGTTCAGTTTTACAACACCTATTAATTAAAGCGAACGCATGCATCATTAAAGTGTCAAACGTATGTTTACATATTAAAGTGTATTCACTTTTGAGTGACAGCGGCTCAGACTCGTAGCCAATCATCAATTCCCGTCCACTGGTGGACGGGGAATTCGATTACACTGCCAAACCCAGCAGGCGGTATTTACCAGGCTTGCCCAATTTTAGGAACCGCCTGCCATGCAGGCTAACAGCGAACTCGGCGTGGTGCGACAACGCCTTAAATAAACAGAATGTGAGAGCTGGAACGAGCTCAACCTCGCAAGCCAGGGTCTTTTACTTCCGCACGGCGCTACAGCAAAGACCCTGGTTCCCTCTGGTCACGTGAACTCCTAAAAATTAGGGCAACAAGAGATCCTAGGGGAGGGTGGTTGAAACATGATGTTGTAATTTACAACTTCCGGTTAAATGTTGTGTTTGCAAGGCCCGCCGAGGAGTGACTGTAAAGCTATGAGAAGTGACTTCAACTGTAATATGCAAAAACATTCAAGATGTATTATTTTTCTTATTTGTCTGCAGTTTTCTATTATAAATATTTTGTATGCAAACACTATTTTGAAGCCCAAGCAGGTTATTTGCTTGGAAAAGCTGTCCTTTGGTGTGTATATACTGGGAATTTTCCAACCGGCAATATGGCGAGTCGCTGATTTACCAGCTTTTGCCTTTGATGCTTTTCACTAAAAGAGCGTTAGAAGAACGTCCGACTCATGGCGTTTGTGTAAATGAGTAATGCTGTTCGTTACAGTATATCGCAAACGCGCCTTTGATAAACAATCCAGCTCGAAAATTATGTGCGATAAAACTCAGAGATCAGCAATAAATGTTTTCAACAGCCATTAAAATGTGAAAAATAGTAAGTAAACAGTAAAATGTACAACGAAGAGATTGATTGCGATGTAGCTGAACTCGAGGCTGAACTTGACTAAATGACAAAACTAATTCTACGTACATGTTATTTTTCAATTATCCATTATATTGTTATCTCAATTTTGTTCACTTTATGCCAAACGCAGTATATTGTGTGTTGTATTTCATAACGTACCAGTCGTTATTGCATGACTGCTACAGCATATAAACTTGACCGAAGGCACATAAAAAAATCACTTGGTTTCCATAATTGCTTTGAGTTGGTTGCAAATTCTGGCCGAAAGAATATCTTTTACGAAAAAGCATTCAGATACAGGCACTGATATTGATGCCTTGGAGGACATTTGCAGACCAATTTATGCTGTAGTGTATGCAAAACACAATGTTTATGTGTTGAGTGTAGTTTAGATATGGAAAGGGAATGATTTTACCTGATCAGACAAATATTTTTGGGCATGTGAAATATTATTAACTTTGTACCAAATGAATACACAATTAATCACAAATGTGAATTTGTTGAACTCAGTTTTTTTAAAGTGGGCACAAGTTGCACTATGTTCACACTCTCTCATATATATGTCATCATTTGCATATATAAACTCAATTTACTTCATGGACAGTACAAAAACCCATCAGAACAAAATTCTAAATTGAATATATATGTATATATACAGTATACTGTAACCATACAGCTATTTCAATTAAAGTTGTCACAGACAATTATAGTCAGATGTACAATAATATGAGTGCTAAATGAATAATGGAATAATGATAGTGTTCAATAAGTTTCAAAAACTCAATAATTTAGGAAACACAAAGAAAAATCATAAGCGTGTCGTGGTTTTATATGTGATAAAAAATCATGTTAATTTACATAAACTTTAGCTTTGATTTTCTCGGTTTAGACCAAGTTCATTTTAAAAATTACTTCGCCAATGAACTCGTATAAGATGAGTCGTTTTTGAAGCCATTTAAAGCACTTGTCGTTTAAAACACTCCTACGCGTGATTTAAATAGTACTTAATACCTCAAATATATTATGAATACCAATTTAATTTGTATTCCCATGAGGCTATTGATGTGTTAAAATAGTATCTTTTTTAGCATTCAATTGTACATTTAACTATTGTCTGTGACACTAACCTTAATCGGAATAGCTGCATTATAATATAGGACAAGTGCAAATTGTGCATCTATTAATCCTTTCACGCAGTATTCACAGTCATAATTCCTCTTCATCTTCTGATGTGTCCACTGCATGGTACGTGCTTGGTGAATGTTCCTCTTGCGTTTGTTTAGCTAGTCATCAAATGCAGCGACAATTTGTCTATAATGTTGCTAATGTATCTGATGATATATATATATGAAGAAACCTTCATGCCGGTGATCACATACCGTATTGTTGATTGCAAATGGTTTCAATTCTAAGAGATCAGATAAAATAACATTTTCTACGAAGATTCGTGCTTGTGAGAGGATGCCTTCTTGACTTAATTCCTACAACTATGTCGAAGTTGGTTATCATTTCTGCAGATATCCCTCCACGGCTCCAGTCGCTCTGCTTTAATATTAAACGTTCGATTGACTTAATTCACTGTCTTGGGTGTTATTGTGGCCCCCATTCTTTTAATTTAATGTTAATTTAGGAAGATTAGAAAATTGGTCATCACACGCAAAAGTTTCACAATTCAAAAATTCTGCGATACGATGCAGGTTTTTATTTCGCTATTTAGGTACTTAGGTAGCTCTAAGAATAGGTTGTTGCAATGCTTCTTGTCGATAATACTACCACAACGGCGACACTTGCATTCCGAAAACAGAGCGGATTTCGGGTAAATCATCTTTGGAGTCTCCTTTTGCTGTGCCATAGCTTGAGAGCTATACTGAATACAGTACTTTGACAAAGTCAAAGTGTGCATTCGACCTTTATTTTCTTTGCGTTGATAAATAATGGCTCCACTTCAAGGTGTAAAACAGACCTCCAGCCAGGCAAATTATATATCACGTAGGTGTAAAAAGCGTTCAAGCGCCAAGCGGTGACATATTTCATAAAAGATAACACAAAAACCGACAAAACCCAAAATATGGGTTTAATAGAAAACGTAAATGGCCGTATTTTCCATAGGCATAGTTATAGATGTTTTTGTTTTCGCTCTTGAATCCCCCCTACCACTCCTCCCTAAATGGCAAAGAGGCGGCAATTCGAATTACCCCTAAAATCTGGGGGTTCACGTGACCAGAGGGAACCAGGGTCTTCGCCGGAGCCCGAGCGCAGGTAAAAGACCCTGGCTTGCGAGGTTGTACGTACTGTAAGTGAAAAAACTCCACATGTGAGATTGTCTTGTATATATTTTTGCTTTCTTTGATAAACACTATTAAACACGCAAATTTTAATTAGTGAGACGCAATGTTAAATGTTACCTG